TGTACTGTATGTATATGACACCACCATTCCTGTACTGTACATGACACCACCATTCCTGTACTGTACTGTATGTATATGACACCACCATTCCTGTACTGTACTGTATGTATATGACACCACCATTCCTATACTGTACTGTATGTATATGACACCACCATTCCTATAATGTACTGTATGTATATGACACCACCATTCCTATACTGTACTGTATGTATATGACACCACCATTCCTATACTGTACTGTATGTATATGACACCACCATTCCTGTACTGTACTGTATGTATATGACACCACCATTCCTGTACTGTACTGTATGTATATGACACCACCATTCCTGTACTGTACTGTATGTATATGACACCACCATTCCTATACTGTACTGTATGTATATGACACCACCATTCCTATAATGTACTGTATGTATATGACACCACCATTCCTATACTGTACTGTATGTATATGACACCACCATTCCTATACTGTACTGTATGTATATGACACCACCATTCCTGTACTGTACTGTATGTATATGACACCACCATTCCTGTACTGTACTGTATGTATATGACACCACCATTCCTATACTGTACATGTATGATAATGTTAAGTACCTTTTCTGCATATTTATATTTACTTCTAAATTAAGGCACATCTTTATGATATCCATACCACAAGCAAATTAATCAGATCTTCATTCTTGTGCGTCCTTCCTAACTATCCTCCAAGAATGGGTGACCAAAAATACGAGCAAAACCAGATTCTGGGTTCTCCTCCCTCACCCTTAACGGCTGTGACATTCCCATACGCCACAATACTTCCTGGACAAACATCCCCTCACTCTCCCTCCATCTTGGCCCACCTCTACACTTCACTTACCACAACTGTACAGTACTCTGAGCTTCAAGTCTCCTGAAACACAACCATGGTTCAGCTAAATGACTTTACTATGTTGTATTGCTCTTAAATATAAGCCAAACAAGCTCTACTTGTTGTGTCTTGTCTGACTTACAACTATGACTCAGGTTTGTAAGGTTCATGACTGTAAGGACACAATGTTGTCCTCTCATGACTTGGTTATGCACAATGTATTAATGGATTATAATGTGTAAACAATGGTTGAAAAAAATGACTCTCAGTTTCATGGGTGAAAGAAATTAATGGAAAGTATATAAACTATAACTGAAGTTTTCTAACCAGACTAACCAGACTGATGGTGCCCCCACACACAGTTGATGGTTCACTTTAAGCAGTGTCAGTACCATCCTCACTATCTCAATATGTCTGTAAGACCTTAGCCAGCCCTGGTCAGCCCTCTGACAAACACTTCTTTTATTCCATATCTCTGCTTATTTCCCGTGTTTCTTGTTCTGCCTCCAAGTCAACTCTCCTAGTGCTCAAAAGAAAGTAATTTCTACCACCAGCAATTTGCTTCTTCCCTTTCATCCACAACAATAATGGCCAGAACAAGACACTTTACTTGCCAGACTATTACACTAATCATTGTTTTATGGCCACTTTTCACTTTGGCGCATGTCAGCCACGATCATCTGGTGGCAGCTCTCCAAGCTGCACAGTCTTATGCAGTCTCTTTTGTCAGGTTCCTAACTCTCCCCATGTTATTCTTGACCTGTCCCTGGTTCTCCTCCCCTCCACATTAAGACTCATGACCCAACTGGTCTCCTCCATTCTCTCCACATGCCCAAACCATCTCAGCCAGCCTCTACCCTCAATACCCAGCTGCTATCTTAGTTTTGAACAGATCCTCCTGTCATTCAGTGTCATATAACACATCCACCTCACCATTCTCACTTCAGCTCACTCAAGTTTACTTAAGTCATCCTCTTTAACTGCCCATCAAATGTCCATTTTTGATTGGAACCACTTCCTCCTTCTAAGCCACTTAGGATCACAACCTTGGTGTCTAAACATACATTTTCAGGGTCAAGGAATACAACTACAACACTTAGAATAGAGTCAGATGGTTATTAAGTCAAAAATAAAATGAACAGATAAATTATTATGAGAACTAGTCCTTAAATGTCTTCCATCGATTTCTTATCTTTGTCAGATTACCTCAGAGTGTGGTTATCTTAATGAAGAGGGATTTTCCACACAAGAGAAGTTTCAAGGCGCAGGATGAGTCTCGCTTTGGTCATCAATGAGCTGGGAAACCTTTTTCAGGATGACAGTGATGAGTTACTGGCTGTATATACACAGAATATTTTGGATGAATCTGTGGTGAACATGGTGCAAACAGTGCAGAGTCTAGGAAAGGATCAGTATGCCAAATACTGCAAAGAAGTGATAACTGATCGCACACTCACCATTCATGAGCCAATTAAGAAGAATGCTCTTCTTCTCTTCAGTTGACCACGGCCAAAAGCCAAGAGAAAACAAGCGGCAAAGATCTCCTTACCCAAGAATGATGTTGCTCTGTTCTCTCACCTGTACATCATGATGCAGCACAAGGTGAGTGACATGACTGTATTCTTCAGCCATGAGAACCATCCTTTTCCCCCTTCACTATCTGACGGTGGAAAATTGCACTCACAGCAGGAAAGAATTCTGATCTGCTGAACATTCTGGCCAAGGACACCCAGAATAATCCTCCTGATTCCATTGACATGAAGCTTCTTGGCGGGGCTGCTATAATGCACTTGCTCCCCACTGCTAACATTGTGACATTTGATGAGAATGCTGATCAGGTCTTTGTTCCACACACAATAAAACAACTCCAAAACTCCAAAAAAAGTTGATGTAGTATGGGACACATACAGCCCCAGCAGCATCAAAGAATCCACGAGAGAAAAGTGAGGAAAGGGTGATCAAAGAAAGGTTGTGGGTAAGAACAAGCTCCCAGGAAACTGGGTCAACTTCTAACGTGACCCGACCAACAAGCAAGAACAGTTTGCATTCCTTTCCAATAAGATTGCCACAGTTATTCTTCGAGGAACCGATCGATCCATGGCACCTTGTGATCACGAGGAAACAGACAATAGGCTGCTGATTCACTTACATGATGCCCTTCTGAATGGCTGTGTACTAACTGTCTGGTGCACACTGTTGATACTGATGTAGTGGTGATCCTCATTGGCAAGTTCCATCACCTGATCACCCTGTGCCAAGATGTGAGCATTTGGGTTGCCTTTTGTACAGGCAAGAACTTTACATATCATCACATCAATGCTGTCTAAAAAGACCCAGGCAGGGAGAAATCCCCCTCCTCCTCCCACCCCCGCACAAACACACACTGTTGCCATATCGACAGCTGATTCTACCTCTCAGGTCGTCTGGCTGGGTGTTCAACGTGGAAGAGTCCGCGACTGTACTGTATGTGCAGAAAGGCTAATTGGAAGTGCACTGAACTCTGCAGTTGTCACTGTGGGAAGTAGAACAAGCATAAAATGCATGTACAGTGGTGTGTGATGACAATATACCATCACACTTACAGTACAGTATTTTCATTAACTATGGTACATTAACAGTATTATTCCATTTCATTTTTCCAACTTTTATGTAGTTTCTTTTGTGTTAATGAAAACCTTCTGCAGCCTTTCCAAATTGTGTACTGTAGTTGTATTCCTTGACCCTGAAAATGTATGTTTAGACACCAAGATAGTGATCATAAGTGGCTTAGAAACCGAGATATTGGTAGATACTGTACAGTATAGGGTTTTACATGGCGGCAATTTGAAAATCCAAGATAGCCACCATATTGTAACTGGACGAAGTGGTTCCTATGCTTTCGTCCGGAACGTCCACATCCATCTCAAATCTGGTCCCAAGCTGCCTGCCTATTCTGTTTGTTTGTGGTTGAAGGCCACATATATCATTCCACCTACTGCTAACATCTACTCCAACATCTCTGAAACATTCCTAACCTGCCATCACATCACAGGCTTCTCAGTCTCCTATATCCACTTATTTCATCATTCCCCCTTCCATCTCTCTTATCCTCACATTTTCCTTCAATATATTCCACTCTAACATTGTTAACTGCTATTCCCACTTGTTCTTTTGGGTTTCTCACACTCTCAGCACCTTCAGGGTACAGTAAATTCTTTTTTCTTTAAGACCTTCACCAAGACGTACAGGTGTACACTCACTCCAAAAAGTATCTTTACGGAGAGGTTCGATGAAATACAAAATGAACACTGTGACTCCTGTTGTCTAGGTAGGGTTGTCAAAATCCTTCAACAGTTATGTCATATTGTCTCACTCAAAATCGTAGAGATACCTTTTGCAGTGACTGAATATAAATAATAATAACACACATCACACCACATCCCTTCACATACATACACACATCACACCACATCCCTTCACATACATACACTTATCACACCACATCCCTTCACATACATACACACATCACACCACATCCCTTTACATACGAATTATGAGGGTAATTTTACTAAGAGTTATGGACACAAGAGAGACATTACCTTGCAGGGTGGATATAACTGAGGGTGTGTGGAGGTCATCTGAGTTACCCTGACCAAGCCGCCCATAGCTCCCTTCTCCACACGCCAATACTGAGCCATTCGCTGTCACAATAAAAGTACAGTTCTGGCCACAGACAACTTGCTGTGCACATCCTAGTGTCTCTGTCAAAACTGGAACCTGGGTGCTGCGGCCTGTGATGGAAAACGTTGCCAAGGAGTGAAAATGTATGTGAAAATATCAATGCACTCTAATCATGGTTTTTGTCAGTGTATTAATTCAAATTAAGTTTATCAAATGTTCATAGGTGACTTACCAGTTTCAGCCAGCTGCCCATGTCGTCCACTCCCCCACATATATACTTGACATCTACCCCCCACTTGCCAGTCTCCAGGCTGCTGTGTAGCCCAGGACATGACCGCTGCATCTTGCTCTACATCCCACTTGCTGTTTTCTAATGCCAGGCTCAGTTGCTCCTTGTCATCTGAGAAACATACATTGATACTGTAACACTGTGAACAAGTATTGTACCTTTCATTATAACAAACTTAATAGACGGACTAGGGAGAGATGGTGCAAGATGATGGTGAAGGTGGTACAAGATGGTGGTGAAGGTGGTACAAGATGGTGGTGAAGGTGGTACAAGATGATGGTGAAGGTGGTACAAGATGGTGGTGAAGGTGGTACAAGATGATGGTGAAGGTGGTACAAGATGATGGTGAAGGTGGTACAAGATGGTGGTGAAGGTGGTACAAGATGATGGTGAAGGTGGTACAAGATGATGGTGAAGGTGGTACAAGATGATGGTGAAGGTGGTACAAGATGATGGTGAAGGTGGTACAAGATGATGGTGAAGGTGGTACAAGATGATGGTGAAGGTGGTACAAGATGATGGTGAAGGTGGTACAAGATGGTGGTGAAGGTGGGTACAAGATGATGGGGAAGGTGGTACAAGATGATGGTGAAGGGTGGTACAAGATGATGGTGAAGGTGGTACACAAGATGGTGTGAAGGTGGTACAAGATGGTGGTGAAGGTGGCACAAGATGATGGGTGAAGGTGGTACAAGATGTGGTGAAGGTGAAGGTGGTGACAATGATGGTGGTGAAGGTGGTACAAATTTGGCGTGAAGGTGGTACCAAGATGGTGTGAAGGTAGGGTACAAGATGATGGTGAAGGTGGGTACAAGATGATGGTGAAGGTGGGTACAAGATGAAGGTGGTGAAGGTGGTTACAGATGATGGTGAAGGTGGTACAAGATGATGGTGAAGGTGGTACAAGATGATGGTAAAGGTGGTAAAAGATGATGGTGAAGGTGGTACAAGATGGTGGTGAAGGTGGTGCAAGATGATGGTGAAGTGTGGTACAGATGCCAAGATGATGGTGAAGGTGACAAGATGTGGTGAAGGTGGTACAAGATGGTGGTGATGGTGATGTGAAGGTGGTACAAGATGGTGGTGAAGGTGGTACAAGATGATGGTGAAGGAATGGTACAGATGATGTGAAGGTGGTACAAGATGGTGGTGAAGGTGGTACAAGATGGTGGTGAAGGTGGTACAAGATGATGGTGAAGGTGGTACAAGATGATGGTGGGTGGTCAAAGATGATGGTGAAGGTGGTACAAGATGATGGTGAAGGTGGTACAAGATGAAGGTGGTGAAGGTGGTACAAGATGATGGTGAAGGTGGTACAAGATGATGGTGAAGGTGGTACAAGATGATGAGTGAAGGTGGTACAAGATGATGGTGAAGGTGGTACAAGATGATGGTGAAGGTGGTACAAGATGATGGTGAAGGGGTACAAGATGATGGTGAAGGTGGTACAAGATGATGGTGAAGGTGGTACAAGATGGTGGTGAAGGTGGTGCAAGATGATGGTGAAGGTGGTACAGATGGTGGTGAAAGGTGAAGGTGTGAAGATGATGGTGTGATGATGGTACAAGATGGTGGTGAAGGTGGTAAAGATGGTGTGAGGTGGTACAAGATGTGGTGAAGGTGGTGCAAGATGTGGTGAAGGTGGTACAAGATGGTGGTGAAGGTGGTGCAAGATGATGGTGAAGGTGACAGATGATGGTGAAGATGGGTACAAGATGATGGTGAAGGTGGTAAAGATGGTGGTGAAGGTGGTACAAGATGGTGGTGAAGGTGGTACAAGATGGTGGTGAGAGGTGGTACAAGATGATGGTGCTGTAAAGATGATGGTGAAGGTGGTACAAGATGATGGTGAAGGTGGTACAAGATGATGGTGAAGGTGGTACAAGATGATGGTGAAGGTACAAGATGATGGTGAAGATGTGGTGGTGAAGGTGGTACAAGATGCCAAGATGATGGGAAGGTGGTGCAAGATGATGGAGGTGTACCATGGTGGTGAAGGTGGTACAAGATGATGGTGAAGGTGGTACAAGATGAGGTGAAGGTGGTGCAAGATGATGGTGAAGGGGACCCAGAGGCCACACCTGCACCAGAGGCCACACCTACAGTACTGGACATCACAGCCACACACCTGACCATGTGGAGGGTACACACCTACCAGTGATGGAGGGGCCACACCTACCACCTGGAGGGCCACACACCTGTGGTGGAGCCACCACACACTACCAGTACTGGAGGGCCACACACACAGTACTGGAGGCCACACACACCAGTAGTGGAGGCCACACCTACCAGTGTGAGGCCACACACTAAGCCAGTGAGTGGAGGCCACCTACCAGTGCTAGTAGTGGGAGGCTGCCACACACTACCAGTAGTGAGGCCACACACCTACCAGTACTGGAGGGCCACACACCTACCAGTAGTGGAGGCCACACACCCCTACCCGTGGTGGAGGCACACACCTACTAGTGCAGGGCCACCACCTACCAGTAGTGGAGGGCCACACACCTACCAGTGGAGGGCCACACACCACCGTGGAGGGCCACACACCTACCAGTACTGGAGGCACACACCTACCAGTGTGGATGGCCACACACCTACCAGTACTGGAGGGCCACACACTAGTACCACCAGTGGAGGCCCCACCTACAGTCTGGAGGGCCACACCTGCCAGTACTGAGGGCCACACACCCACCAGTAGTGGAGGCTACACCACACCTACCAGTATGAAGGAGGGCCACACCTCACTGAGGGCCACAACCAGTAGTGGAGGCCACACCCAGTATGGAGGGCCACACACCTCATACCAGTGTGGAGGCCAAGTATATTAAAGGAGACCACCAAATTACTGTGAACAAGTTTTCCCCAATTATAATAGTAAGTCTATGCAAAAAAATTTACTATTGAAGCAGTCTTGTTTACCTGGATATTCAAGGAACACCCGAAGAAACTGGCAGCTTTTCATGCCTCCATATCTTTTACTATTTCTTACTATTTCTTTTGACTCTTGCCCTTAATGATGCCTCCTAAGCATACAGTGAGAGGTGGTGGATACTGTAGTGTGGAAACAAACACCACAGTGAATACAAAAGTGGAATTGTTGGATTGGTTGGAGAGTCAGTGGTGAGGTACCATGACATTAACACCATTGGCCACTACATTAAGATAACCGAGGCTAGTTTCTGGCAAGTGTTTCTGGAAGTACTGTACTGTACCGTACACCTGCAACTGTTAAATGTATATTCTTAAGCCATGATCCATGTGTAGAAAAAATGGAGAAGGCACTAACACTGATATTCTCAAGCTGCAGTAATTTATTCTGTTCAAAGGAAGAATTCTCATGCCATGAAAAGAATGAAATTTTCTTTAATATGAATTTCACTAAAGAATTCATCCCAAGTGTTTGTCAATAGCGCTATGTTTTAAGAATACAGCACCATAAAATAAACTCTCTGGGTGGCCCATGTCTTCTAAACCTTTGGAGACTCAGGCTTGGCTACCTTAACTTGTAAACCAGAAACATGTGTGTGTGTGGAACAGTTCTCTCAAATCATTATCAATAACCTATAAAGTACATCGCCCCAAAAAGCAACTTTACGGAGGATTTTGACAACCCTGCCGAGACAACAGGAGTCACAGTGCTTATTTTGCAATTCATCGGACCCCTTTGTAAAGATACTTTGGGGCAAATCTATATACATTTTGAAGTGTATAGGAAGCTATGAATGAGCCATCCTTGCATACAGCAGATATATAACACACAAGCATAAGACTTGTCAATTAAAATATCTGGCAACCATAATGAACACATGCTGTGGGAGACCCCTTCTACAACAAGGCCCCAAGACATTCATCTAGTTCATCAGTCACTACTTACAACATCCATCAGCAGCACTTCCAACAGAGAGTCAGCCATATAACATACCTGACTGCTTGAAGTGTCGAGTAACAAAAGAACGTGGCAGAGGAGTGCGGTGTTTTAAACTCTCAGCAGTGTTAACAGCAGTACACAGGGTGTCCAGCCAATTCCATTCAGCAACTGAAAAAAATAATGTTAAATATGTGGAGCTATATTAAGTAAAACAAAAGGGCTTTTCATCCACTTACTTCCTCCAGAAATGTGGATCTGATCCTTTTTGTTCAATCCAGAATGCGACATCTAGCTTTATACCTTTGTATGTAAATGCCAAGCATTAACTCGCCAGGCCAATATACAGGCAATTAAAACATCTAATTACCTAAATACGTAATATTAGCAGGACACGTCGCTATCTGACACCTTCTCTTGAGGTGCTCCTCCAAGCGTTATGGTGTGGAGTAATCGTCTCCCAGGTGAGGGGGTCGATTTGGCACTTTTTCAGGTTTGTCTTAAGTCTATCCTTATACCTTTTCAGTTGCCCGCCAGTGTTTTTACTATTCATTAGGTGACTGTAAAGTAGCTGCTTTGGCAGTCTACTGTCGTCCATACGGGTAACATGGCCAGTCCAGCGTAGTTGTTCATGGATAATGGTAGCCTCGATGCTCCTACACTTGGTGTCAGCAAGAATATTGACATTTGTTCTCTCGTCTTCCCAGCAAACTCGGAGGATGGAACGTAGACTACGTTGGTGAAAGTTTTCAAGTGCCTTGAGGTGCCTCCTATATGTGACCCATGTCTCACTGCCATATAGCAGGGTGGGGAGGACCACTGCTCTATATACGTGCAGCTTTGTAGATAATTTCAGCTCCCTACAGCTGAAGACATGGTTTTGGAGTCTGCCAAAGGCTTGAGAGGCACATCTGATCCGATGTTGAATCTCTTCATTGGTGTCCGCAGTAGTGGACAGGTGGGAGTCAAGATACTGAAAGTGGACAACATTAGAGTGTAGTACCGTTAAGATGGATGGATGGTGGAGGTGTGGCTGAACCAGGGGCAGGCTGAAAGAGAATCTGAGTCTTACGTATATTCACCTCAAGGCCGAAGTGTGCATACGCATCTGTGTAGGTGTTCAGGATCTCCTGTAGGTCGCGTTCTGTGTGAGAGAGAAGGGTGAGGTTGTCTATATACTGAAGTTCAGTAATGAAAGCCTCCGACACCTTTGTTCTTGCCTGGAGTCGTCTTATGTTGAAAAGTCCCTTCATCAGGTACTCGATGTCCACCCTGCTGGCTAAATTGGCACTGGTTCGAGTAAGAAAGGCAGCCAAGAAAATGGAATAGAGAGTTGGTGCCAGTACAAAAATTGTGCAGGACACTGCCGTTCATACCACCATGGAGTTGCCTCACAATGGCGGTGAATTTTGGTGGGCAGCCAAAACGGCTGAGGGTCCACCAGAAGGCTTCCCTGTTGACTGAGCCGAAAGTCTTGGTTAGGTCGATTAAGGCCTTGCACAGGTCAAGATGCTGTTCTCTGCTCTTTTCCTGTATCTAATGGGCAGCAAAGATCATGCCAGTGGTGCCACGTGATGGTCTAAAGCCACGCTGAGATTCTGGGAGGGAGGTTTCCGTCTCAGGAAGAAAGTCTGTTTAGGAGGACTCGGGCAATAATCTTCCCAGCTATGGACAACAACAAGATCACACAGTAGTTGCCACAGTCTGACCGGTCTCCCTTGGTCTTATAAATATTGACAATGGAGGCGTCTTTAAGAGGTTGGGGGATTTTCTCCTTTTCCCATATATTCTCCAGGAGAGAGTGGAGACTGCTGGTAAGACGAGGTCCTCCTGCTTTATACACCTCGGCTGGGATTCCATCAGGCCCTGAGGCCTTGTTATTTTTCATCTGCTTGATGGCGGTAGCTACCTCAACCTGGGATGGAGGATAGCCGAGGTGGGTCAGCTCTGGATGCTGAGGGACCTGCCGGGTAGTCAGGACATCCACATCGGTGTTTCAGTTGAGCAGTGAATGGTAGTGCTCTTTCCAGTGCTGAAGGAGGCCTTCATAGTCTTTAATTAAAGAGTTACTGTCCGATGAGCGGAGGGGGACTGCACCAGGACAGATTGGCCCATAAAATGTTTTAGTGGAATTGAAAATTTTGCACATCTTATGCTGATCTGCACATTTTTGTATTTCACATGCTTTATTTTTAAACCAGTCGCTTCCTTCTTGTGGAAGCTATCAGTTTTGGTCCACTGAGGGTTGTTCGGCCAGTCAGTTAAAGCAGCACGTTTATCATCGACGAGTACACTGATTTCCAGGTCACTTTCATCAAACCAGTCCTGGTGTATTCTTTCTATCTGGCCAAGGGTCTCTGCAAGTTTTCGTCATGACAATGTCGAGAATACCCCATTCGGCACTGGGATTTGGGTTGTTTGTTGTTGGGTTGTTTATCAGACCATGTTCGAGCTGCTCTCTGAAAGCCTGTGCTACCACTGTATCCTCAAGACTCTTAGTGTTAAAACCTCTTCTAGAGGTTTGCTACCTTTGCCGTTTTGTAGCGACGAGAAATGAGAGCTTGGCTCTGACGAGCCGATGATCAGTATCACAGTGGTCTGAGCCCCGCATTGCATGGGTGATGAGGACACCTCGGCGATCTCCTTCTCTGACAATGATGTAGTCAATGAGATGCCAGTGTTTGGATCGTGGGTGTTGCCACAAACCCTTGAACTTGTCGGCCTGCCTAAACAAGGTATTGGTGATAGTGAGGTTGTGAGCAGCACACTTGATGAGGAGCAGTAGGTCATTGGGATTACACTTGCTTAGTCCATTTCTCCCGATGGTTCCCTGCCAAATGTCAGCATATCTCTACCAACTCTGGCATTGAAGTCACCAAGGAGCACAACCTTGTCTTTTCTGGGAATAGAAGTTACCACTGTCAAGGTCGGCATAAAAGGCCTCCTTGATTTCATCCTCTGCATCTTGTGTTGGGGCATATGCACTGATGAAGAATGCGTGAAGTGAGTAATTCAGTGGGACTCGGAGCATCATGAGGCGCTAGTGGATACCAATAGGCATTTCAGTTAACCTATGTAGGATGCGTTGGCGCATGGCAAAGACAACTCCTTAAATGAGGTTTATCTCCACTGCAGGCTTACCCTTCCAGAAGAAGGTATGGCCACACCCCTGTTCTGTGAGGCAGCAGGTACCTTCAAGCTGAAACCCATGCTTGTGTACCACTAAGAAAATCCCAGGACTTTCAAGGGCTACAACAAATCCAGGTTAACTGTTATATGGTGTTTGAAAAGGAAAGCATGGATGACTGGCAGCCTCTTCCAAGATTGGTTATGTAGCTGGTTTTGTCCTGCTGTAGAAAGGTAAAGTAACCAACAAAGCTCTGGTACTTGTTGATAATGCTCCCAGCCACCCTGTTAACCCTCCTGACCTTCACATATATTAGGGTTGAATAACTGCCCAAGAACACAACTTCTTTGCCACAGCCAATGGATCAAGATGTGATTGCCAGCTTTAAGGTCCACTATCTATGCAGGACATTTAGACAACTTTTAGCTGCAACTGATAGTGAGGATCAGCAATCATATAGAGATTTTTGGAAAAGATTTAACATCATGAATGCTGTAAACAACATTGCTGACTCCTGGTATTACGGGCACAGTTGCACTGATAAATATTAATGCCAACACTTATTCATATTGTTATGCCGAGGTATAATTCAGTATTATAATTTTTTCAACAAGGTGTTCTAATTATTTTCTGTCCCAAGCAGCAATTATTTTGGCAAGTTTGGGGAGATTTTCTTGTGTATATTATCACCCGGTAACTATGTAAGAATTTTCTAGAATGTATTGCATCAGTTTTGTTAATATTTACTTATGTATTGTAAGCCTAAATCATTCTAGAGCCTTCAGGGTGTATATCGTTCTGACCTGCAACACCTGGATGGTGCTAGGATGTTCTGGAAGCCTGATGAGATGTATATAAACATCGGCAAGCTGCCTAGGGAGTTAGTCGACAGTTTCTGCTCAAAGTGTGACGTACAAGCCTAGTGACAGCTGAAGATAATTGTTGTGCAAGTGTTGTGGAATTGTTGTGAGCAATATAAAGAGAAAAGCCTAAGGAATTGTGTACTGGCAGTGTGCTGACTGTATATATTCGAATTGAGAAGTCCAGAGGCAAAGACATACTCTGTGACCTGGTGGAAATCTACCTGGCTGTTGTTTGTCTGTACACTGGTACCGATCATTGGGAAATTACCGGAGACTAGAGGGACAGCCAGTGGTAATTTGAAGACAATTGTAAGATATCTACTGCTTCTGTATATACGACCCTGGCCGCAGGTAACCAGCAATGGAACCTATGTGAAATGAATGAGTTACCCCCGAGAGAAAGACTTGTTTTCTGTAGTGAAAGGTACCATCCATTTTCTGAATATGGTGCAGATCACTTCCAGGAATGAGAGGTTTCTTGGAAACGAGATGACTCTCTCAAAGCCAGAAAAAAATCCCTCATCTCTGGAATTTTCCGGGTAACAGAAATTTTTTCTCGGAAGTTCCAGAAGTTGCGCATTACATCATCTCTCGAACCCAGAAAAATATCCCCCATCCCCGGAAAATCCCAGGGACGAGGGATTATTTCTGGCTTTGAGAGAGTCATCTCATTACCCGGAAACCTCTCATTCCTGGAAGTGATCTGCACCAAATGTTCCAGATAACGGAGATATCACTGTATTCCTGTATCGTAAATTTAAAATTCTGTCGTAACATATATGAGTAGCGGTGAGTGATGTATAAAGTAAGCCCGGATAAATTGTGTATTTTTATTTTGCGGTCCTCTATTATTCACGGATAAGATTGCCATACGTCCAGTTTTTCACGGACACGTTTTATTGTTCGGTTCTACCGGGTTTTTGAAATATCTAAATATGTCCAGGATTTTGCCCTTTTTTTTTTTTTTTTTTGCATTTTCAAAGGCAAAATTTTTAAGATTTAGGATATTTTTTACCTTGTTTAAATGGTTAGTTACACCATTTTTATATATTTTCTTAAGGAGATAAAATGCAGTTTTGTAATGTTTGGAGCAGAACAGTTTGGTACAATCTGTACTACTATGTAATGGACATCTTACTGATCACACCGGATGTTGTATATCTTGAGCACATGCATTCCAACTGAAAATCATACTCATAATTTTAGAAAAATTTCATCTTCAACCTTAGAATATGTCCTATATCCAGTTCATATGGCCTCAAAATGTCCCTGCGTGGGCTCGCTACACTCATTATTGACACCCTCAAACTTGTTGTACTGTATCTGTGACTTACACAGTCATACACTAGATATAGTACAGTACTGTGTTGTGAGCCAATTAACAAATTTTTAAGCCATTTCTTATCAAGTGATGACCAAAATTCAATCAGATAATATGCAAAAAATAAAATAAAAGTAAGTGTGGTTAGTATCTGTATAAGTCTATTAAATAAATAACAATGACCGACCTGGCTCTGGGTTGGCTACGTGGATGGGTGCCGGCTGGGTGCAGAGGACGCTGTCCAGCCTCAGCAAAAGGGCCAGAGAACACAGTTGTTGCAGGTAGCGGCTGTGAACTAGTTGCTCTCCACTGCTTACTGTGGAAAGATCATTTGTAAGGTTATCTCTCAGTGTTCTATCTTGCTATACATATACGTACTGTAGATAAGTTAAAACTGTATCAAAAGTTCATTTATCACCACTACAGTAAACTATTGTGGGCACCTAAGGTATTACCAGTACGTATACCATTATAAGAACCAACATATTGTTCACATAAGAGTTTTCACGTCAATAAATACTTATAAGTGATAAATACAGAGTTTCAATAGTTGTGTATCATAAAGCATTGTAGGAACACTTGCTGCATGAAGCTCATGAAGGCAACATTACCAGCCTGTCAGCCTGGCCAAAGTGATCATCTTATATGGTGTTTTTCTAATGTTTTCCTTGTATATTAATATTTACATAAAGAAAATTTAAAACTTAATAAACTAAATTTTTGGGCACAGATTTGTAGTGTGCAGTTTAACACACACTGTAAATAAATCAATAACGACTTGTACTTTTAAACACGACTGAACAGCCTCTGAGGAACCTGGCAAAAAGAAAAAAAGGTGATATAAGAAGGTAAAGATACTATGAAATCTTATTGTTATATTCATCAACACAGCTAACCCACCTACCTCACCACAGCTTAACTGTTACTATTGACACTACCTCACCACAGCTAACCCACCTACCTCACCACAGCTAACACAGCTAACCCACCTACCTCACCACAGCTAACACAACTACCTCACCACAGCTAACAACACTACCTCACCACAGCTAACCCACCTACCTCACCACAGCTAACCCACCTACCTCACCACAGCTAACACAACTACCTCACCACAGCTAACAACACTACCTCACCACAGCTAACACAACTACCTCACCACAGCTAATAACACTACCTCACCACAGCTAACACAACTACCTCACCACAGCTAACACAACTACCTCACCACAGCTAACCCACCTACCTCACCACAGCTAACAACACTACCTCACCACAGCTAACAACACAACCTCACCACAGCTAACACAACTACCTCACCACAGCTAACACAACTACCTCACCACAGCTAACCCACCTACCTCACCACAGCTAACACAACTACCTCACCACAGCTAACACAACTACCTCACCACAGCTAACACAACTACCTCACCACAGCTAACACAACTACCTGTACCTCATGGATACAGGTGAAGTCGGCCCCTGGTGACTTCGGCCCAGTTACAATGGTGATCTCGGCCCATTTTGGTAATCTCTACATAGAATGTGGGCCAAAGTCACCAATGGTATCAACTGTCAGGCTTTTTGAGACTTTTTTTTATAACTTTATTTTAAGGACATGGATTGATGGTGTTTGGCCGGTAGATGTCGTCACTAATACAGATGTGTCGAGACAGCTGTGTTTGAACAGGTGCGGGCTGGAGAATAGTTTCTTGAGTCAACACGGTCATGACGCCAGCTAGACCATGAACTCTGCTGGGTCAGGTCTTAATCTCACTTTTTAGGTGGTGAAAACTGATGAAAAATATCTGTTCAGATTATTGCTCATTTCTCCGTCATTATCAGTTAGCTCGCCAGTATCTGACTGTACTGGTCCAATCTTTTCTCGTGTTTTAGTTTGATCCATTTGAAAGAATCCCTTGGGGTATGACTTCGCCTCCCTTGCTATCTTCAGTTCATTATTCCTCTTTGCTTTTCTTATCTCGGTCTTAACCCTACTGGCCAATACCTTATAATCATCTCGGTGGCAAACTTCACCACGATTTATTTTCCTACCTAAGGCCTTCATTTGGTCAATAATATTCTTTAAATAATTATTTATCCATTTAGCGTCATTGTTGTTTGATCTGAGCTTACTGTATGGTATGTTCTGCCTTTGTGCATTAAGTAACTCATTATTTAAATTGTTGTGGAACTCGTCAACCTCAGATCTCATGAGCAGGTCATCCTCAACCGTCTTATTTGGTGAGGTTATCGTTGTCAGGTCTCCAGGTAAAGTGAGGTCGCCCTCTGTGGGTACAGTGTGAGGTCATGTAATTCACCCCCAAATGTGATAACCCTTCTCTCAGCTGTGTTTTCAAACATTGCCCTTCTGAAATCTAGGACTTTGATGGAATTATGGGACTTTAATGCGCTGTTCTTCTCTGGGCTGTAAGCTATGGTCTGATAAACAATCATTACACCTCCCACCAAGACCAAAGCTTCCACACCAGAGAACTGATGACATATAGACAGTGATCATGGTAATGTCATGTGCAGTATCTAATAGCCCATGAGGCGATAATGCAACTTCACATTTTACAAACAATAACCGCCACCTACCGGTAGCACTTCCCTCATAGTTAGTGAATTTATGTTTTTCTACTAGCTTGGTTTGATCTAACAAAACTCACTATACCTTCAGCTAAGAGTAATAAATATATATATATATATATAACATATATATATATATATATATATATATATATATATATATATATATATATATATATATATATATACAGTAAAAAGTCCAAAAATCGGATGACAGAAATGACCACCGAGAATCCGGACTTTTCAAAACTTTCAAACTTTTTACATTTAGCGGACTTTTGTGGGTTACGTGAATGAATGGAGTTGCTTAAAAAATTAATTTACATAATTCTAATAATAAAAGTAATTGTAAATTATAGGTAGCTAATTTTGTTAGTTTTGTAATTAGCTTGTCCTGAAATGTAAAATTTGAGGCACTATAAATCTTTTTTGTGTGTATGTGTGATGCATGAACGCATACAGTTGCACAGCTATTAAGTGAATGGTCGCCTAATTTTTAAAACAAGCAATCAAACTGTGACGACGTTAATTTTGAGTCCTACTGTTTCCATTTACAGAGTACTGTACAAGCCCATAATAATGGCTCCAAAGTAGATAAACTTGTTAAAGAAGAGAAAGAAGAACATGTTGAAACTGAGTGACAAACTTGAAATAATTAAGAACCAGAATGTAAATGAGCAACACTGATCTAATGGAAACATACTACATTGAAAAGTCTACAATTTATGATATAAAAAGGCAAAGAATAAAATTTAGAATTCACAACTTCTTCTGGGCTTCTCATAAAATTGCTGAGAGAAAAAAGTTTACATTGGCCCAAATTAGAAAATCTTGATAAAGTGTTGCACAAATGGTTTTGTTAAAAACGTATCAGAAGGTATGCAATATGGCTGATGCTTATTGCAAAGTAAAGTCTTTTAAGGAGCAAATAAACATTGAATCAGAGTAAGCATTTAGTGATGGATGGCTAGGAATTTCAAGACTCATTGTAGTATTAGGACAGTTTGTTTACATTTTTGTCAAGTGTTGACTTTATTTTTTGAAACTGCTCGTTTTGATAAATGAAGCATGTTTACTCATAAGCTCTCAAAATGTACCTGTTCATCTCTACTTACCTCCTTAAATTTGAATTTTAAAAGTACTGCCTGAGAATCCGAAACCAAAAATAAGGACCCACTCAATCTCAAGCTGTCCGGATTTTTGGACTTCTACTGTATATCATGTAGATCCACAATGAAAACGTGATAAGAAAAGGAACAACGAGCCCGTTGTTTCCCCTTTTCCTGATTTTATATATATATATATATATATATATATATATATATATATATATATATATATATATATATATATATATATATATATATATATATATATATATATATATATATATATATATATATATATATATATATAGTTGGTCCTCAAGACATGTTAATGTAATCCGGAGGGTCCATGGAAAGTGAGGAACTAGTAAGTGAACAAATATAACATATGGGATTAATTGAAATGGAGTCCAGGCGTATCCCAACTCCACGTTTTGACGACACACAACTATGTTGTAGTAAAAATATTATCTTAACTTTGATGCATGCACACACAATTAATAATTAAAGAAATATCAATATTAGGTTTTTTAACACTTACATTAGTAGAAAAGATGGCTGGGCACACGGGATGGGCTTGGTTCCGGGAAGAGGGCAGATTATTGGCCTCCACCTGTATCACTTGTATCAATTGTATCACTATCCACCACAGAGGCTTGCAGGGCTTCTTTGTCAAACCCCCAAAGTCTATATGTCCATATCCTCACAATTATCACTATCACTGACTTGGCTGGCTGTAGGTGGCGGTGAAGAACTCGTAATGTTTTGATGATTAGGCACTTTGTGCTCCATTTCGCCTACACACAACATGGCGGATGGGCGGAGGTTTGAACAAAATGGTGGCTTGCCAGCCGCCTCCGCGTAATGGGGTTCATGACCATGAATGTGAAATGTTAGGTTCTGCAAGGCACCGCGTTAACGGTGAAACGCGGAATGTGGCCGCGAGACCAACTGTGTGTATATATATATATATATATATATATATATATATATAGCAGTTAGTTAGTAGTATATATATATATATATATATATATAATATATATATATATATATATATATATAATATATATATATATATATATATATATATATATATATATATATATATATATATATATATATATATATATACACACATGTCAGTATAGTAGTCTCGGCCAACGAAAGCACAATCCGTTCTAGAAGGTTGCTCGTTAACCGAAAAACTCATTAACCGAAACCATTGCTTCAATGGGTTTTGGGGTAATTGGTTCCAGCTCACCGAAAATTGCCAAAATTAAAAAAAAAAGGTAGAAAAGTACGCTTACTTTGAGGTGTGTATGTAGAAGGCTCCTGGATGATGATGATGATGATGGGAATTAGAATGGGGGTGGAGGAGAAGGAAGAAGAAAAGGCATTGGGGTGGAAGAGAAGTCACCCCATGGCACCATTTCACCCATAAAATTTTAGTTCTCTTGGTGTAATTCAAGATTATTTTCTTTAAATCAACACTGCACTGCATTATATATTGTCAATATGTAAAATAAATTTCAAATTGACCAATAATTTGCTTGGAAACACAGAAAAAAAGCATTTAGTTGAAGAGAGTCTCAAGCAAGATGTTACCTCCACTGAAAAGACACAGAGACTGACGCCTGTATGGTGTGTTGACAGGCTGTATGGCGCGCAAAAAACTAGCTTCCTATACTTCAATTATGTTCAATAATTGTTAAAATGACGACAAAATTTAATATAAAACTTTTAAAATTATTGAATAGTATAAACTTCTTGATAATTACTAAAATAGTAAGGAATTTTAGCCCTAGAACCAATTACTGTATTGGCGGACTAATACTACAGCTGGTGGACCGCCAAATACAAGCGAAAACATGTTGAGGTCGGCTCACAAGAAACTCGTTAATCGAGGGTTTGCTCGTTAACTGAAGAAAGAATCTTATGAAAGGTAACTCGTTAACCGAAATCTCGTTAACCGAGGCGCTAGTTAACCGAGGGATCACTGTATATATAATGTGATTTTAAATCCATGTCCTTAAAATAAAGTTATAATAAAAAGTCTCAAAAAGCCTGACAGTTAATACCATTGGTGACTTTGGCCCGCATCCTATGTGGGCCGAGATTACAGAAATGGGTCGAGATCACCACTGTAACTTAGCCGAAATCACGGGACCAAAGTCACCAGGGACCGACTTTACAAATATCAGGGTTTACTTGACCTATATGTTAAAAGTATTAGTCAGGTATTATATTGTAGTCAAGGTATTAGTGCTTGTAAGGGAGGAAACTGATGGACATGGCCCCTTCACTACTGGACGCCACTTTTAATATTTTATTCAGCCAACACTAATGATTTTATTTATCAGAGAGAGACCACCAGTATCTAGGGGGCTGACCAACATGGGGTTATGCACACAGTAGCATATATCTCACCTAAAGGTCTCTCGTGGTGATATTGTGAGAGAAGGAGTGACGGTAGGTGGCAGAGCAGTGCTCTGAGACATGACGCCTGGTGTAACCCAGACATTCCCCACACGTGTAATCTTGTTCGACACAATGCCACCACCCGTAGTTTATAAAACTGGTCTTCCGTCATTGAGATAAACATCACGTTCTGTGGTAAGACATTCAGGTACAGTACATAAACTTAAAGTATTATATTTCATGAGACACTTAATTTACTGTATATCTTTGATCACATAACAATGATCACAGGTTTTATGAACAGATTTTATTATAATGAACCAAAAGGTTGATCATAAGAGCAACTCAAATATTTACCAACAAAAATACAGGAAACATTTGACAAATATTTTCTGGGACTTAAAATTGATGTGATAAAATACTTAAACTAAACACTGTTACCTTTATAAAGGTACCTGTCATACCCTGGTGACCTGTAGGTACCTGTCATACCCTGGTGAACTGTAGGTACCTGTCATACCCTGGTGACCTGTAGGTACCTGTCATTCCCTGATGACCTGTAGGTACCTGTCATACTCTGGTGACCTGTAGGTACCTGTCATTCCCTGATGACCTGTAGGTACCTGTCATACCCTGGTGACCTGTAGGTACCTGTCATTCCCTGATGACCTGTAGGTACCTGTCATACTCTGGTGACCTGTAGATACCTGTCATACTCTGGTGACCTGCAGGTGCTTGTTATACTCTGGTGACCTGTAGGTACCTGCCATTCCCTGATGACCTGCAGGTACCTGTCATTCCCTGATGACCTGTAGGTACCTGTCATACTCTGGTGACCTGTAGGTACCTGTCATACTCTGGTGACCTGTAGGTACCTGTTATACTCTGGTGACCTGCAGGTACCTGACATACTCTGGTGACCTGTAGGTACCTGTTATACTCTGGTGACCTGCAGGTACATGTCATACTCTGGTGACCTGTAGGTACCTGTCATACTCTGGTGACCTGCAGGTACCTGTCATACTCTGGTGACCTGCAGGTACCTGTCATACTCTGGTGACCTGTAGGTACCTGTCATACTCTGGTGACCTGGAGGTAGGTACCTGTCATACCCTGGTGACCTGTAGGTACCTGTCATTCCCTGATGACCTGTAGGTACCTGTCATACTCTGGTGACCTGTAGATACCTGTCATACTCTGGTGACCTGCAGGTGCTTGTTATACTCTGGTGACCTGTAGGTACCTGCCATTCCCTGATGACCTGCAGGTACCTGTCATTCCCTGATGACCTGTAGGTACCTGTCATACTCTGGTGACCTGTAGGTACCTGTTATACTCTGGTGACCTGCAGGTACCTGTCATGCTCTGATGACCTGTAGGTACCTGTCATTCCCTGGTGACCTGTAGGTACCTGTCATACTCTGGTGACCGCAGGTACCTGTCATGCTCTGTCCTGCAGGTACCTGTCATACTCTGGTGACCTGTGGTACCTGTCATGCCTGGGGACCTGTAGGTACTGTTATACTGTGACCTGCAGGTACCTGTCATACCCTGGTGACCTGTAGGTACCTGTCATACCCTGGTGAACTGTAGGTACCTGTCATACCCTGGTGACCTGTAGGTACCTGTCATACCCTGGTGAACTGTAGGTACCTGTCATACCCTGGTGACCTGTAGGTACCTGTCATTCCCTGATGACCTGTAGGTACCTGTCATACTCTGGTGACCTGTAGGTACCTGTCATTCCCTGATGACCTGTAGGTACCTGTCATACCCTGGTGACCTGTAGGTACCTGTCATTCCCTGATGACCTGTAGGTACCTGTCATACTCTGGTGACCTGTAGATACCTGTCATACTCTGGTGACCTGCAGGTGCTTGTTATACTCTGGTGACCTGTAGGTACCTGCCATTCCCTGATGACCTGCAGGTACCTGTCATTCCCTGATGACCTGTAGGTACCTGTCATACTCTGGTGACCTGTAGGTACCTGTCATACTCTGGTGACCTGTAGGTACCTGTTATACTCTGGTGACCTGCAGGTACCTGACATACTCTGGTGACCTGTAGGTACCTGTTATACTCTGGTGACCTGCAGGTACATGTCATACTCTGGTGACCTGTAGGTACCTGTCATACTCTGGTGACCTGCAGGTACCTGTCATACTCTGGTGACCTGCAGGTACCTGTCATACTCTGGTGACCTGTAGGTACCTGTCATACTCTGGTGACCTGGAGGTACAGTCAGCCAAAGTTCCATTGACCTCACCCTGGGTCTCGTACTCTCAATTTTACCTGGCAATACTTGAAGGAAGGAAGGCTGTATGTAAAGGTGATTGTGATTGGTGGATTTATTTTTGGCTGTATCACTGTCAGGATAATATATTAAATAATCCAAAAGCAGCATTTTTATAATAATAAACTATTCATCGTTATTTAAGATCATGATAGTTTCCAAATATTCGTAAATTTGCTTAAAAAATAAAGAAATTATATAAATGAACTGGCAACGCAGCTACACCCAGGGCTACCACCAGCTTCTCACATCAAATTTCAAGAATATAAAGGTCTGTCCAAAAAGAAACCGAACTTTTTAAATAGCGCGCCAACAAGCCGGCACAGCGTGCTTGCGACAGGAGCACTGTGTAGCGGTGACCTTGACCTTTAGTCTAACACTAGCCGCATCACGCCACGTCAATTAATCATCGAGCTACACGTGCTAGAGTAAACGTGTGCTTAATGCACTTAGCGATTTGTTGCAAGTTGAACAATGAAGGATCTTGAAGAGCAACGTGTTTGCGTGAAATTGTTTCAAATTGGGAAAAACTTTTAAGGCGACTTTTCAAATGTTGCAACAGGCTTATGGGAGGATTGTTTGAGCCGTACGCAATGTCACGTGTGGTACCAGCGTTTCAAAAGAGGAAGAACATCCACCGAAGACGATCCCAAATCTGGACGTCAGAGTCGCTCGAATGTGGAGGTGATGTTGATCGTCTTTTTTGATTGAAAGGGCGTCGTTCATCGTGAGTTTGTTCCACGTGGTCAGACAGTCAATAAGGAGTTTTACTTGGAGGTCCTGAAGCGTTTGAGGGAGGCAGTGCGAGGGAAGAGGCCTGAGGCGTGGACAAACAAGACCTGGATGCTGCACCATGACAATGCACCTGCTCACGCATCGCTCCTTATCCGTGACGTTTTGGTGAAGCACGAGACAACTATCGTCCCCCAGCCGCCCTACTCTCCGGATTTGGCCCCTGCTGGTTTTTTTTTGTTCCCAAAGTTAAAATCCACCCTGAAAGGTCGCCGATTTCAGACGATAGAAGATATAGAAGAAAATTCGCTACGAGACCAGCACACCATCTCTCAAAACGTGTTTCAGAACTGGAAAAAAAGTTGGGAGCAGTGTATCAACAGTGGAGGGGTGTACTTTGAAGGAGACAAGTCTGATTAAGTTGTAAGTAAAGCAATAAATTTGTTTTTTAAAAAGTTTGGTTTCTTTTTTGGACAGACCTCGTATGTTCCACATTTAATCTTTAGTGTTTCATGGAGGAATTAATTGTCTTTACAGTGTGAGCATTACATAATATAATTTGACGTAAGTTAGAGGGCAGACACTGTAATAGACTCACTTGTCAGTCACATGTATCTTTGCATATTATAGTTATCAGTCAGAGTGTGTGTGTGTGTGTGTGTGTGTGTGTGTGTGTGTGTGTGTGTGTAATAATAATAATAATAATTGACGGTTTATTGAAAAAGTTCTGCAGCCCGAAGGCTGAAAATATACATTGGACATAAATGACTTATTACATACATTGGTGGTTTAACAAAAGCCTTCATTAGAGAAAGGTAAAGGAACATACAGTGAACATACAGATTAATGTAGGTGTTGAACAGCAAACACGTAGTGTAGTAACTCCCTCCCAGATGGTGTTAGGAGGGACCTCACGTGGTGTAGTAGTTCCCTCACAGATGGTGTTATGAGGGACCTGCGTGGTGTAGTAATTTCCCTCACGTGGTGTAGTAATTCCCTCACAGATGGTGTTATGAGGGGCCTCACGTGGTGTAGTAATTCCCTCACAGATGGTGTTATGAGGGCCTCACGTGGTGTAGTAATTCCCTCACAGATGGTGTTATGAGGGGCCTCACGTGGTGTATTCCTCACAGATGGTGTTATGAGGGCCTCACGTGGTGTAGTAATTCCCTCACAGATGGTGTTATGAGGGGCCTCACGTGGTGTAGTAATTCCCTCACAGATGGTGTTATGAGGGGCCTCACGTGGTGTAGTAATTCCCTCACAGATGGTGTTATATGAGTGAGGTGTGGTTCCAGGCCTTCCTATCGTAGACGGATTAACACATCGCTGGTTGTTGTTGGGTCTCACGGGCCGTTATCACTGGGTACCTGGGACCTCACTGTGTGAAGGTTAACTTGGGTACACTGTTACTGTTGAGTTGTTCTCACTGTGTGTGTGTGTGTGTGTGTGTGTGTGTGTGTGTGTGTGTGTGTGTGTGTGTGTGTGTGTGTGTGTGTGTGTGTGTGTGCGTGTAAATAAATTACATTTGTAATTATGGCAATTATAACACGAATTATATGTGAAATGTGGCCATTGGGAAAATGAAGTATCCAAGTGGCAGCTGATGTATGGAGCTTAATATCTGGTTCCCCTTTGTAGAACTAAAAATCAACAATTGTTCGGCAAAAGACTGTACTCATCGTTAGGTAACAGCATTTTCAATAGTTACCTATCTTATTTATGACGTCAGCATCAGGTTTTACGCCCACCAATCACATATCACTTGGCATGATCTAATCAGCCAATAAGAGCTTGACCGAAGTGTTGTTGTGAATACAGGATCAACAGTAGGCATTACTTCTGTCACCATGAACACGACGCAACAGCACTAACTACTCACTGCCATATAATCGCCCTCCGAGAAGAAGGCCTTACGGTGCGTGACATCGCAGACCGACTTGCTGTGAAGAGGTGGATCAGGAGATATGCCAAAACGGTGTATTTGAACTGATTTGCATATGTATGAAAATTTCAGATTGAACCGGGATATAAACAATATCTAAGATATTTATTTTTATATAAATGATATGATAATGAAAATATTATAATGTAAATGTTATGGTTTTTGGTAAGGGTTATGAGTGTATGCCATAATGTTAATGGCATACCAGGTTATGACAC